GAAAGTTTTCAATTTTGATAAAATCCAGTTTTTTTGTTACTTGTACTTTTGGTGTCCTACCTATGAATGCTTTTTGCCTAATTCGAAGTCATGAAGATGTGCTTCTATATTTTTTTCTAAAAGTTTTATAATTTCGCTCTTATACTTAGGTTTACAATCTATTTTATGTTAATTTTTATTGTGTGAGATAGAGGCCCAGTTTCATTCTTTTGCATGTAGCTATCCAGTTGCCCAGGTCCACATTTTTTTCTCATTGAATTTTCTTGACATTTTTGGCAAGCTACTAAAGAATTTTAATCGGAGTGTGTGTGTGTGTGTGATGGGCAGTGTCTAAATGTTCTGTAAGAAATGCCTAAAATCCAGGAATCCAGGGAGACTACATGTTTAGCAGTTGCTTTAATTGGAGGGAAAAGTGCTTAACTAAATGCTATTGAGTATAGATAGAAGAGAATGGATTTGTGAAAAACTGGGTTTTTTCCTCCATGCAATTTGAGAACAACGTATAGGTAGAAATTAGATATAAGTAACTCTAGATATACATCCAGGTTTCTTACTCTCACATCTTAATGGAGGATATTAAGAAGAATAGGTGAGGTAAAAGATGAAGAATGCAGCAAGAAGAGAAATGTGTGGTGATATTTACGGTAGTGAGGGCAAGCAGAGTTTGCCACACCAAAATATGCCTCTTTAGGATACTGATTATTTTAAACTTGTTATTTTTAAGACACAAAAGACTCAGGGAAAACCTTTGACCTCCCTAACTGCCTGTAAGAATTTAGATAGAGGACCTGCTCCAGGGAGGAATCTATCATCATAGATAACTATATAGTTTAATATGAACTAGGTGTGATAGACAGGGAGGAACCATCAAGGTCCCTTTGATCAAAGCCCCTCTCATTGTTAAAGATCACCCAGAAACATTTATTTACTAACCATTTGCTTTTCCATCTTCATTCCTTGTGAATTTCCTTCCTCTCCTTTGAAGTCCCAGTCCCCCACCCCCATCCCCTGTAATGGCTCAAAACTAGAAAGTGACCATCAATAGGCTGTGACACTTGGAAGCTCAATTGTTTTTTCACCTGAAGTCTTTTGATTTTTATTCTAGGGTTAAAGTTTAAAATAATAAAGGGATTGAGGGCTGTGAGGCTTGGAAAAAATGCAAGTGGGACGGGGAAGAAACTGTCTCAGCTTTTTCTCTTCACTCTTAATTTTTTGAAACCTGCCAAATTGAAATAGTAAAGCCATGATCCACTTGGGCATTCTCAGACAACTGAGAATAGTTAGAAAAAGATAGCATTGATAGTGTTTGGGGTGGTCTGAGATGGAGACTTGGAATAGTGGTAGTGACTCAATGAAAAGAAATATCTTAAACCCCTAGATGAACTATGTTACACTTCTGGATCACAGCTTCCTTATTCAAACTTCTCAGATTTTCAGTGATCATAATCTACAAGGCAGGGCCTCCTTGCATTGTTTCTTAATGAAGGTATTTTCTTTAAATACAAAAAAAGGCAGATTCTCTGATTCTGGACGCGAATATGTTACTTTTGTGGAAATAACATCAGAGAAACTTTGCTGACCAGTTTTTAAATTGATTTGAGAAAGAGAGAAAGGGGGAGAGAGAGAAAGATTTGTTGTTCCACTTATTTATGCATTCATTGATTGCTTCTTGTATGTGCCTTGACTGGAGATCAAACCCACAACCTTGGTGTATTGGGATGACACTCTCACCAACTGAGCTACCCGGCCAGGGCTTGCTGTCCATTTTTCAAATGTAATTCTTTACTAATATGATGTGTTAATTTTGTAATTTAAAATTAATAAAATAAGCTATAGAGAAAAGTTTTCATCTTGAAATAAAAAAAAACATTTAATAATTTATCAACATTTTAATATACATAATCTGTGATCTAAATGTTTCACTTTTAGGCATTTAACTTATAGAAATGCAGTTCTCCTAGAGGTGCACACAAATATACCCAAAAAGTAGTTTACTTCATCTATTTTGTAATTGAAAAAAATTCAATTACAAAACATCCATTAATATGCCAAAGCAACAAAACACCATTAATATGCCAATCAAAACAACTCTAAAGTGGGTGTTATCACCTTATTTTACAGAGAAGGAAATTAAGCCTTAAAGAGGTTAATTATATTTCCCAGACAAACAGCTAGTATGTGCTGAATCCAATGGAGACTGCAACTCTCCCAAGTCCCTGGGGTTCTCAAGTTCTGTGTAACTTGGGAACAGCTACACTCCTGGTAAGCATGAGAGTGTGGATTAAACAAAGGTGTTTCAAATATTTTGGTTATAACAACTTTGCCATAATGACTAACCTTATGTAGATGTTGTTTTGTACTTGTGAAGGTTTATCTGAGAAGTAATTTCCTATAAGAGTGAATTTCTGGATTAAACGATAAATGCATGAAAATTTTGTTAAGATATTTCCAAATTCCACAAAAATTATATGTATATTTATGAGCAATGTATGAGAGAACCTGTTTTCTCACAATGTTAATCCTTTTAATTTTTGCCAGTCAGACAGGTGAGGAAAGGTATTTTGGTGTAGTCTTAATTGTATTTCTCTTGTTAATAATTAGGTATATTCATTCTAGTTATGTCTTTGTTCTCTTTCTCATCAGACTTGTAATTAGTTTTGTCTTTACATATTAAGGAGGCCTTATATAGTAGGAAACATTAGTGATTTGTAATATAATTTGAAAATATTGGATATTGCATTATCTGCTATGATTGCAGGTTCTTATGCTTTGGGACAATAGAGATAAAAGGCCTTTCAGAACCACCCCTTTCTTTAAGGAAAGCAGTCTAAACAAGGATTAAAGGAGCAAACATTGCCCGGCCGGACGTGGCTCAGCGGTTGAGCCTTGACCTAGGATCCAGGAGATGGTTTGATTCCCGGTCAGGGCACATGCCCAAGTTGGGTCGATCCCCAGTCGGGGGCCTGCAGGAGGCAGCTGATTAATGACTCATCATTGATGTTTCAACTCTCTCCCTTTCCCTTCCTATCTGAAAGAATAAATATTCTCAGTACCCAACAGAGTGGATCTTTCATTGTGGGTAGAGTGTGGGAGTGGACAGAGTTGAGATGTGAACTGGATTTTCAAGAATGAGTTGATCTTGGACTAAAATTTAGGCTGAGTTGCTCTTCTCAATCTCAGAACATTCATCTAACCTATTTTCTTGTGTGAATAATTAATGATTAGTGAGCAAGCTACCAAATTACAGAGATGTTTATATTTCTTTAAACATTTATTAAAGAATATATAAATCAACACCTCTTAGATATAAGTAGGTATTTTTACTTCTCATTTTAATGATGCATATAATTTTTAAATACAAAGATATAAGTAGGTATTTTTACTTCATCATTTTAATGATGCATATTTGGATGGAAAAGAGTGCTCTATCCCTATACGGTTATCTCCATTTTCATAAATGGATGTGTCCACCTACATATGTTGCTGTATGTTAGCATCTCTGAACTTGGGTATATGCACATGTGTGATTATAGACATATGTAGCTGGTAATAAAAATAAATACCACTCCATGGGACTATGAATTTTTACACATGAAAGTTCTCAGGTGTTTCCATTGTGAGAAAGATGTTGAACTAACAAATCTAAAAGTCAAAATTATATGCAAGGGATTAGGTAACTCACTAGGGAGAAAACACACGTGAACACTGAGAAAAGTCCTATTTGGATGGTAGATTCTAGGTAAGTTATCATGTTTCCCCTGGTTAGTTTTTCTTGAGATGGTGGGGGAGCAGAAGGTATTTGAATAATAGGTAGAAGAAAGTGAAGCGGGTATTAATATTGATTTCTTAAAAAAAAATTCAATGGTGGATTTTAGTAGAACATTTATTTTACTTTATTTTGTATTCACTCCTTTATAGTCTATATTCCACCAGAGACATTTCTGCAAATCAATAAAAACTCTTTATAAACATTATTTTTAATGACTGACTAGTGTTTGATAGTATATATTACATAGCATTGTTTATTTAATTATTGTCATTCAGGCAAGATATTAAAGCTATTTTCCTTTTTGGTATTTTGCTATTGTAAATAATTCTGGAATTAATGACTTTTTTTTTTTTTTGCATAAATTTTTGCGCTCGTTTCTGATTATTTCCTTGAGCTACATTCTAGGGAGAAAAATTAGTAGGTCAAAGAGAATGAACATGTTCAAGGTATTTGATTGATATTGCTGAATTCCAAATGACTCTACAGACTTACGCTTTTATTGCAAGTATGCGATATATATGAGAGACCACCTTGGGAGAAAGGTTACAAAGCTTATAATCTTTGTTGATTGTAGGTTTTCTGGACTATTAATACATAACTCATAGTGAATGAAGAGTATAAAAATTGTCAGCTAATCTGTATTGTGAGTTGGTAAGAACTGTATAAAAGTGGACATTATTTTATATCATTAAATGATAATGAAGATGAAAACAGACAATTAGGATCAGGGCTAAGAGATCTGAAATATCTTCCTCAAGTGTAATTATAAGGATCTGTCCAATGGAAGCTGTCTCATCTGAGTCCCACTGCCTGAGCTGAATCACTTCCATGATTGATTGATTGATTGATTTTTACTTTATTTTCAATTAAAGTTGACATACAATATTATATTAGTAGCAGATGTACAACATAGTGATTAGACATTTATATATACCTTATAAAGTGATCACACCAATAAGTCTAGCACCCACATGACACCATACATAGTTATCACGTTATTGACTATATTTCCTATGCTGTACGTTACATTCCTATGGTGATTTTAGTAACTGGCAATTTGTACTTCTTAATTCCTTTCACCTTTTTTACCCATCCTCCCAACACCCTTCCCATCTGGTGACCACCAATTTCAGTAGAACATTTATTTAAATAAATTAGGACATGGGTGAGAATGACATGAGGTAACTGGGAGATGTAAGGGCGAGGATAGGGTGGATATAGGACAAGTAATAGGAAAAGTGATTAAGATGAGCTCAAGTCAGGAGCCTTTAGTTAAATTCCTTGACAAGATTTGAAAACATCTGTTTAGCCCCTTCCAAAATCGGCCTGGTCCTCACCCCATAAATAATAGGATTGAGCATTGGTGGGATGACCACATAGAGATTGGCCAGGAGAATGTGGACATAGCGTGGGATGCGCCTCCCACCAAACCTGTAGGCAAAGACAGAAAAGAGGGCAGGGATGTAGAAGAGCAGGATGACACACACATGGGAGCCACAAGTGCTCAGGGCCTTGGACCTGGCCTCCCGAGAAGGGAGGTGGAAGACGGCTTGGAGGATGTGGGTGTAGGAAACAGCAATAAGGGTGACGTCCAGGCCAGTGGAGAGGAGAGCGGCTGCCAACCCATACCAGACATTGACGGAGATATCAGAACAGGACAGACGGGCGATGCCCATGTGCTCGCAGAATGTGTGCGCGATGATGTTGACCCGGCAGTAGTGCAGGCGCTTAAGGAGAAAGACGGCCGGAAACATGATGATGAAGCTGCGGGTCAGGGCGGCGGCGGCGATCTTCCCAATGACCGGGCCTGTGAGGATGGTGGCATATCGCAGCGGGGAGCAGATGGCCACATAGCGGTCAAAGGCCATGGCCAACAGGACTGCAGAGTCGGCCACAAAGAGGAAGTGGATGAAGAACATCTGGGTGAGGCAGCCATCAAAAGAAATGTGGCTGGAACCCAGCCAGAAGTTGGCCAGCACTTTGGGCATGGTGGCAGTGGCGAGCATGACATCAGCACCGGCCAGCATGGACAGGAATATGTACATGGGCTCATGCAGGCTTGGCCGGGAGAGAATGACACAAATTAAAATGCCGTTGCCTGCCAGGGCGGCCACATACATGGTAAAGAAGGGGATGGAGAGCCAGGTGTGTAGATGCTCCAGTCCAGGGATGCCAACAAGGAGGCAGCCTGCTGTGCGAGTGTCCGAGTTGTTTGTAGCTGCTGTGCTGCTAGCAGGTAAGAGAGCCATGGTTTTCTGCAGAACCCTCACCTGTGCCATAGGGGAGAAATAGCTTCAGACTTTGTAAACATTAGTAGAGTGCACATAAAAGGATGCAAACAACCACAAGGTCTGCACACACAGGTCCTCCAACCATTATGGGTTCTGCACACAGGCATATTCCCTATGGACAATCATACAGAAGCTGTGCACAAAGTGCAGTTACAGATCTTGTCCACAGACAGGCTCTGTGTCCTTATTTGGTGGCTCTCCATACAACTGTAAGACTTTCTGGAAACCCAAGGCTCAATAACATGGCCAAACTCAGTGCAGTGCCGCAGTTCTGAAAAGAGCAGGAATGGCTAGAAAATAAAAAAAAATCTGAATAATCTCTGGGGCCCGGCTGGGCATGGCTCAGCAGTTGAGCGTCGACCTAGGATCCAGGCGATCGGGGTTCGATTACCGGTCAGGGCACATGCCTGGGTTGCGGGCTCGATCCCCAGTCGGGACCTGCAGGAGGCAGCCGATCAATGACTCTCTCATCATTGATGCTTCTGTCTTTCATCTCCCCTCCTCTCTCTGAAATCAATAAAGATATATTTTTAAAAAATTAATAATAATCTCTATGGGTATGTAAATTGTAGTAAATTCTGTAAAAAGCCCCAGGCTATGCACAGAAGGGCTGCAGTCTCATATCAAAGAACAATCTCCTCTGCTTAGCAGACTATAGAAGAGAAGGATCAGACCTTGTATTTCTTTTCCCCCCAGTCACAGATGCTCTGACAGGTACAGAGGCAGTTAAGGCAGCTATGAGATTTAGAAATAACACTGCACAAGGTATGAAAACACCTGGGTCAGAGATCTTCTCTGTCAGACTGTGATTTTGGACAAGACATAGTCTTTTGAGTAACAATTTTCTGATCTTTCAATGAGCATACTGGTTGTCTTGGTGTGTTAAATTACCATGCAGCTACAAAAAAGAAGGTTCTCTTACCATTTGAGAAAGCATGGAAGAACTGGAGAGTATTATACTAAGTGAAATAAGCCAGGCAGAGAGAGACCAGTATCACATGATCTCACTTATATGTGGAATCTAATGAACAAAATAAACTGATGAGCAAAATAGACCCAGAGACACAGAAGCATGGAACAGACTGACGAATCTCAGAGGAAAGGTTGTGGGGGGAAGAGATTAGCCAAAGGACTTATATGTATATATGCATAATTTATGGACACAAACAATAGTGTGGTGAAGGCCTGGGGGTGCATGGTGGAGGGAGTCAATGGGGAAAAAGGGGGGCATCTGTAATACTTTCAAGAATAAAAATAAATTTTTAAAAATCTTGTCTGTGGAAACCTTATTAATCTGTGTGGTGCTCCCTGAGGCATATCTGTGACTCTGAAGTGTGGGGCTATCACCCAGAACATGAAGGAAGGCATGGGGCGATGCTTCAGAAAGTGTGGTGCCCAGACCAGCATCATCAGCATCATCAGGGAACCTCCTCATTCTTGGACCTTCCCACTCTCTTAATGAATCAGAGGATCTGGGTTTGGAGGCAGCAGTCTATGTCTTAGGCAGGCCAAGAGGTGATTCTGATTCATGCTAAAGTTGTTAATCCACTGATGTAAGAAGGTTTTTACTTTCTTCCCAATCTAATCTGCAATCAGCATGTCCATTTCTTCTGCCAGGACCAATAATGTCTCAGCCTCAGTTGGTTTCTGCATCATTCTCCATGACAATGTTTAGGCTTCAACTAAATCTAACCATTGTTTCCCTCAGCTCACTTAGTCAGGATGTGAAAGAAATGACACAACCATACAAATAGTCTTGACTACATCCTGGGCCAGTTGACCCTTCCTCAGTCCTACTAAATTACCCTCACAATGAATTTACAACTTTACCACTGCCCAGATTCTTATTCCTTCCTTTCAACTGAATTTCCCTCCTACATAATGGAGACTTCAAGACTACCAGGAGACAACTACTCATATTATTATTGCACTCTTGTAAATTTATCTTTTCTTTATTTTGTATACCTCAGTGACCAGACATTACATAACTTGATACGTGATCATCCCAATAAATCCCGCACCCATCCAGCGCCATGCCTAGTTATTAAAATATTATTGACTATATTCCCTATAAATTTATCTTATCTCTGCACCCATCCTCTCTCATTTCCTCCCCTCTCAGAGAAAGTAGTGTTAATGTCCCTTCTGCCTTTCAATGTCTCCTTTGTTATAGTTATATTTTACTTTACTTAAGAACAAGGAAGCTCCATGAAATTATTTATTTGTTTATAGAGTATAAAGACAACATAAAGTATTTTTTTCTATACTAGTAGCAAACAGCTATACAATCACATTTTAAAAGTTCTGATTACAAACATACAAGCATACAAAATGTATGTTAAAAACATAACATACTTAAAAATAAACTTAAGTTTACAAAAGCCTCTACACTGAGAATTACAAAATATTGCTGGAAGAGATTTTTTAAATGTAAATAAATGGAGATAGGTACCATGTACATAAATCAGAAGATCCAAAAATTGTTAAACTATCAATTTTCTCTAAGTAAATTTGTAGTTAGTTTTTTAATTTAAAATTTCTAGCATAAATAATAAATAAAATTGTATGTGTATAATATGGTAATTTAATATATGAATACATTTTGAAATGATTATCACAAGTTAATTAATACATCCATCACTTCACACAGTTACCTTTCTGTTTTGTGGCCTTATCTTAAATTATTTTTATTTACTTATTTTAATTTTTTCTTTGTTATTGACCTTATTGGAGTGGCACTGTAACAAAATTATACAGGTTTCAGGCGCACAATTCTATAACATACCATCTGTACAGTGTATTGTGTGTTTTCCATCCCAAGTCAAGTCTCCGTCCATCACCATTTATCCCCCTGTACCCTGTACCTTCCTCCACCTCTCCCTCCACCCTGGGAATCACTACACTGTTGTCTGTGTCCATGAGGTTTTTTTCTTTTATTTTCTTTTTTGCTCGGTCCCTCCACCTCCCAGTCCCCACTCCATCACACAAACACAGCTGCCAGCCTGCTCTCTTTCTATGAATCTGTCTCTGTTTTGTTTGTTAGTTCATTTTGTTCATTAGATTCCACATATGAGTAAAGTCATATGGTATTTGTCTTTCTCTGACTGGCTTATTTCACCTAGCATAATGCTCCCCAGGTCAGTCCATGCTGTCACAAAGAGTAAGGTTTCCTTCTTTAAATTATTTTTAAAACTGGGTACACACACACACCATGCAAACACAACACACATATGTAAACACAAACATAATACACACACACATATGCTCATATATGCATTCATACGTGTGTAAGTTTGTATGTATGCACATTTTCAAGAATAATTTCCCCACCTATTCTCTGAGTTCTTTTCTTTCCTACCTCCTCAGGGACTTTGTTCCATCAATTATCTCCCCTCTTCTTTATCTTCAATTTTTCCTAATCTCCTACATCTTTATCTTTATTGTGTATGGACATTCAAATATTTTTAACCTTGAAAGCAAACAAAAAATAAAAATAAAAATATCTTATTCTGCTAGCCTGTCTCACTACTTCCTGTCTGTTTCTCTTCTTTCCTTCAAAATCCTGCCTTTCATGAAACTCTAGATTTGGCCTTGACTTTTCTACTCTCCTCTAGCCCTTCCCTTGTCATCCTCATTAAGGTCTCCGTTTTCCATGCTGGATGGCTCACCACTGTTTCTTATTGGTCTGTCTCTAGGCTTCCCTCACTCTTCACTCTCTCTGGCCAGTCTTGTCACCTGCCTCAGCTTCATTTAGTCTGCATGTACTAATACCTCCCAAGTCTCTATTTGCCACCGATATTACTTTTTAAGCTTCCGATCCACTTACCCAAAGACCTCCCAACTGATTCTTCACCTACAGTCCTTCCAGTCTCTAAACCAGGCTCCATATACAGAGTGGGGCAAAAGTAGGTTTAAAGTTGTTCATATGGAAAATAATACAATAATTAATAAATAGTAATATAAGAATAAACTCTGTGTTTTGTGTACTCACAACTGTAGACCTACTTTTGCCCCACTCTGTATAAATAGATTTCCAAAAGCAAACTTTGAGCATGCTACTTACTTGACACTAGAGAATCATTTCCCACTGCCTAATAGATTCACAGACATGTTCTCTGCTTTCTTTACCAATACTGGACAAATGCATGTCTCTGAACTTGCTCTTCTTTCTCTGTGGTCTTTTATACAGTCCATCTTTCCCTTCAATCTAGCTAGTTTATATTTCTCAGGAAGACTTTCCTCATTTCCCAAGGCTGGGTTATGCCTACATTCCCCCTCAGTTACCTATTTCTCTCTCTGGCATTTATGACACTGAAATATTTTCAAACTCAATATATTATGAGCTCCCTAAGGGTCAGCACTGTGTCTCATTCCCTGGTGTCTGGAATAGAGGTGACATGTAGTGAATGTTTTAAAAAATGAAAGAATAAATAAGTTCCTATCCACTGAGCCATGTAAGTTCACACTGTCAAGGACACACACCCATATCATAAAAATCACAGGTTTATAGTTGTAAGTCACCTGTCCTCACATTCTCTTCTCACCTGTAGTCTGTGGCATTTGTTGTGCTCACCCCTCCCACCACATCACTCATCATGCTCCTCCTCCGCTGCACGTCCCCACCTTTGTCAGTCACGTGGGCACCTACATAAACTTTTCTTCTCCAACTTCAGCTCTCCTAAATAGTGAACCTCCAAGGCAGCCTTTGTTCACAGCATCCCCCTATCCTTCATCCACATGACTCCCGTTTTGACCCCAGCCAGGCATCCCTCCATGCTGCTGTACCACCACACTCCTGAGCAACCCCAAGAGCTCCTCTTACAGTTGTCTCTCTGGCCGCCACCTTTTTCAGACCTACCACTCCTTATATGCCCAGTTCCCTCACCCACTGGTTCCTGCTTCTGTCACCTTTGGAAAAATTTCCAGGAAAACTATCCCTTCTAGTCCAGTGAATTTGTTTTCCCATCTGTTTTTGAACCCTTTGCCTCACCGCACCATCCAGAAACTTTGTCCTTTATAAGTTGTCCCCCAAACACAGTAGAATCACTTTTCTTTTTGTTGTTCCTCAGTGTCTAGGGATAGAACCTCCATGTCATTTCTGATTCTTGCATCCTCCTTAGGAGCCAAGGGTCACTTACTCATCAATCTCCCCATCCTCACCTGAGAAGTCACCCTCCAGACTGCCCTTCTCCTATCCCAGTCTCGAGGAAAACACAGTTCACGCCAGCCACTTTGAATAATTCTTCCCTTTAACCCTCCACCACTCCTTGAACATTGCTATGGAGCTGGCCACTTATCTGGTACCCATTTCCTATCCATTCATCCACATTTATAACCTCCTCTCCATCCTGAAAGG